GCCTCCAGTGCTGTGGCTGCTGCTGGCGGCAATAAAAGTTGTTTAAAAAGTCGTCTACCCCCCCCATCCCCCCCCCACATCCCCCCCCCACATCCCCCCCCATCCCCCCCCACATCACCCCCCCCCACATCCCCCCACCCCCCCCCCCCCACATCCCCCCACCCCCCCCCCCCCCCACATCCCCCCACCCCCCCCCCCCACATCCCCCCACATCCCCCCCACATCCCCCCCATCCCCCCCCCATCCCCCCCCCACATCCCCCCCCCACATCCCCCCCATCCCCCCCCCCTACATCCCCCCCATCCCCCCCCCCACATCCCCCCCCATCCCCCCCACATCCCCCCATCCCCCCCCCACATCCCCCCCATCCCCCCCCCCCCACGACCTCCTGTGTACCAGGCGAGGTAGTCAACATCTCCTAGCCACAGTAATGATGAGAGAGACGCAGACTCCACAGATACAGCAGCAGCAGCAGGCTTCGTCAGGGTCTGGGGTCGAACCCACGACCTCCTCTAGACCAGGCGAGGTAGTTAACATCTCCTAGACACCGCAACGCCCTTTATCTCTCCCTAACTCTCTCCTCTCTCCTCTCTCTCCCTCTCTGGGTGAGTGGGTGGGTGAGTGGGTGGGTGAGTGGGTAGGTGACTGGGTGGGTGAGTGGGTAAGTGAATAAGTGAGTGGGTGGGTGGGTGAGTGGGTGCGTGGGTGGGTGGGTGAGTGGGCGAGTGAGTGGGTTGGGTGGGTGCGTGGGTGGTGGGTGGGTGGGTGAGTGAGTGGGTGAGTGAGTGAGTGAGTGGGTGGGTGAGTGAGTGAGTAAATAAGTGGGTGAGTGAGTGAGTGAGTAAGTGGGTGGGTGGGTGAGTGAGTGGGTGACTGGGTGGTGAGTGGGTGAGTGGGTGGGTAAGTGAGTGGGTGCGTGGGTGAGTGGGTGAGTGAGTGGTTGGGTGGGTGGGTGCGTGGGTGAGTGGGTGGGTGAGTGGGTGAGTAAGTGGGTGAGTGAGTGGGTGGGTAAGTGGGTGAGTGTGGGTGAATGAGTTAGTGGGTGGGTAAGTTGGTGAGTAATAGGGTGAGTGGATGGATGAGTGGGTGGGTAGGTGAGTAGGTGAGTCTGTTGGTGAGTGGGTGGGTGAGAGGGTGAATGAGTGGGTGAGTGGATGATTGAGTGGGTGAATGCTTGGGTAGTTGAGTGGGTGGGTGAGTGGGTGAGTGGGTGAGTGAGTGGGTATGTAGGTAAGTGGGTGAGTGAGTGAGTGGGTAAGTGGGTGAGTGTGGGTGAATGAGTTAGTGGGTGGGTAAGTTGGTGAGTAATAGGGTGAGTGGATGGATAAGTGAGTGGGTAGGTGAGTAGGTGAGTGGGTGAGTGGGTGAGTGAGTGGATGAGTGAGTGGGTGAGTGAGTGGTTGAGTGAGTGGTTGAGTGCGTGGTTGGGTGAGTGGGTAAGTGAGTGGGTGTGTAGGTAAGTGGGTGAGTGGGTAGGTGTGTGGGTGAGTGGTTGAGTGCGTGGTTGGGTGAGTGAGTGTATGGGTGAGTGAGTGGGTGGGCGGGTGAGTGGGAGGGAGAGTGGATGAGTCAGTGGTTGAATGAGTGGTTGAGTGCGTGGTTGGGTGAGTGAGTGGGTGTGTAGGTAAGTGGGTGAGTGGGTGTGTGGGTGAGTAGGTGAGTGGGTGAGTGAGTGGTTGGGTGAGTGTCTGGGTGAATGAGTGTCTGGGTGAGTGAGTGGGCGGGTGAGTGGGGGGGAGAGTGGATGAGTGAGTGGGTGAGTGGTTGAGTGAGCTGTTGAGTGCGTGGTTGGGTGAGTGTATGGGTGAGTGAGTGGGCGGGTGAGTGGGGGGTGAGTGGATGAGTGAGTGGGTGGGTGAGCGGGAGGGAGGATGGTGGAGGATGGGGGGGGAGGGGTTGACCTATGCCGATGTTGCTGCGTATTTATTTATTAATTTCTCGCGCGCCCGCTGCGAGACAGCGCCACGCATTGTCCGCTGGAGCGAGGAGGAGGAAGAGGAGGAGCATTCTCTCACCCCACCGTCTCCCGGGTAACACAGAGTGAGAGGAGAGAGACAGGAGGAAACATATACATGGAGTAGGGAGAGAGGGGTGGGTAGCAGAGGTCGCAAACGGGTTTTGATTCCTTACCCGTACCCGTACCCGGCCGCACCAGGGTCGCAAAAGGGTACCCGTACCCGGCCGTACCCGTACCCTACCCGTACCCGGCCGGGTACAGGTAGGGTACGGGTATCGGGTACCTGATTGCGACCTCTGGGATGAAGCCATGTTGCAGGCGCGGGTGGGTTGATTCTAGGAACTTGAATTGTGAGAAGAGACAAGACTTTGGGAAATGAGTGACAAACGGTGACTCACCAGTAACTCACGGTCTACCCGTACCCGTACCCGGCCGCACCAGGGTCGCAAACGGGTACCCGTACTCGGTCGGGTACGGGTAGCCGGGTATCGGGTAGGGTACGGGTATCGGGTACCCGATTGCGACCTCTGCTGGGTAGAGAGAGGGGGGTAGATAGAGGGAAGGGGTAACACAGAGTGAGAGGAGAGAGACAGGAGGGAGAGTGGGACTTGTCGTAGTAAATAAACAACATTAAAAATACTACATCGAAAACCGGGGGGACATAGACATGGAGTAGGGAGAGAGGGGGTAGAGAGAGAGGGGGTAGAGAGAGCAGAGCGTGAAATATTTCGTGAAATATTTCATTTTAAAAGGTGGTGGGTGGGGGGGTTACGTAAAACAAAGCATAAAAAAAAATGATGAACGAAGCAAATTGCCTACTACACCAAGCATCTTCTTGTTTCCTCTGATCGTAAAATAAATAAGAGAGTGGAGAGAGAGTGGAGAGAGAGTGGAGTGAGAAGATAAAGAGAGTGGAGAGAGAGAGTGGAGTGAGAAGAGAGTGGAGAGAGAGTGGAGTGAGAAGATAAAGAGAGTGGAGAGAGAGTGGAGAGAGAGTGGAGTGAGAAGATAGAGTGTAGAGAGAGTGGAGAGAGAGTGGAGTGAGAAGAGAGTGGAGAGAGAGTGGAGTGAGAAGATAAAGAGAGTGGAGAGAGAGAGTGGAGTGAGAAGAGAGTGGAGAGAGATTTTTTTGACTTTTATAATTTTATTTCCTCCAGCGGCAATTGCGCTGGAGTATTTTCAATGTATCAGTATACCAGCCTTTATGGCCACACAATGCACCAGCCTTTATGGCAACACAAGAAAACAAGCACCGGCCCACGCGCCGCACCACGACACGCAGCGTCGGCACCACATTCAATTTCACAGTCGTGCCCTTCTCGGAGCTCCGCCTTACGCATTTCCCCACCACATCGCCGCCACCACACAGCCAGCGTCCGATGCATTTGTCATTCCGGGCCATGACGCCCCTTTGCCTGGCAAAACACACCCTCCACACCCCTCCCCTCCCCGACGGGCGACGGCGGTGGTAGTGATGACAGTGTCGCCTTTAGCGCTATGGGGGAGAAGGGGGGGAGGCTGTTTCTTGACCTTGCTCATCAAAGCCTTCAGACGGTACACCTCCTGGCGGCCGTAACTGTACTTTTGCGGGTCATGGACTACCAACCGGGCCGTCTTCATGAAGGCCCCCCTGTTGGGGAAGCTGTCCTGCACCCGGGTCTTGCGCCTTCCCGAACGACCACCGCAGGAAGCCGACGAGGTAGTCGGGCCTACACGATCCCATGGCCAACTCTTCGCCCTCCGACCCTCCGGGTCGTCGTTGCTAGCGCCGCTCACCATGCTCACCTCCATCCTGCCCGTCCTCCATCCTGCCCGTCCTCCTCTTCTTCCGCGCCCCTCCGACGACGGTGAACCCTCCCCCGTCATCGTCGGTTTTCTTCTCCGGTGCCGACTCTCCGCGCTCCAGCACAGAGTCGACACCACCTTGCTGCGGCTGCTGATGCCGCCACTGCTCCCGCTGCTGCTGCTGCTCTTCTTGCTGCGGCTGCTGCTGCTGCTGTTGCTGCTGCGGTTGATGCTCCCACTGCTGCTGCTCCCGCTGCTGCTGCTGTTGTTGCGGCTGCTGCTGCTGCTCCTGCTGCGGCGGTGGCTGCTACGGCGGCTGCTCCCGCTGCTACTGCTGCTCGTGTTGCTGCTGTGGTTGATGCTCCCACTGCTGCTGCTGCTCCCGCTGCTGCCTTGGCTGCTGCAGTTGTGGCACCAGCGTTGTTTCTCCCGTCGCTGCTCCGCCAGACCTCACCACTCCCTCCTTAGTCTTGGCAGAGCAGCCTGGCGCTGCCACACCCGTAGCAGCGCGGCACAGCTGTGGCCAGGTACACCGTGTGGACGCGGCCACCAGCGGTGCGCTTGATGGCCACGTCCATTTCGGTGCGCCCGCTCTTCAGCACGAGGAACGCCTGTCGTTGGCCCGACAGGACGTGCCTCATCTCTTTGATCTGCGTCCTCATGCGCAGCAGCACAATGGGCGACACCACCACGCCGTAGCGCTGCAGGTCCGCCCTCAGCACCGCGTTCGTGAGGTATGGCGGCGCGCCTGAGACGGTCACCCTCACCGCCGGCGTGGAGAGAGGGCTGCACTGCACGAGCAGCCCCCCCCCTCCCCCCGCCGCCGCATCCACCGTGGCCACGTACACCACGTAGCCACGGTTCTCCTTCTGTACCACACGGATGGCCGCCGGCCCGACGTGTGCCGCCACCACAGCAGCAACGCCATCGGGCGACGTCCCCGGCGGTGGAAAGCATCGAAAGCCGTGCTGGTCCGTGAGGGACGACCCACAGACTCACGCCACAGAGGCTCACAAACTTACACAGGAACCCCACAGACTTACATAGGAACCGAAACCCGTTGCGCAACCCATCGTGCAACCCGTCGCGCAACCGGTTGTAGCGCAAATCGGTCATGCAACCGGTTGCGCAACCGGTATAATTGTATTTGTTTGTTTTGGGGGGTTCGAGTTTGTAGGCGGGTTAGGGTTTGGTGGGGGGGGGGGGTCAGGGGGGGGGGGGCAGGGGGGTCAGGGGGGGTCAGGGGGGGTCAGGGGGGGGGGGCCTCACACGAGCGAGGAGTTGGAGAAGCCGCCGGCTGCCTCGGCCACGTAGCCCGCCGGTACCAAGATGGCCGCCACGCCCGCTCTGCCGCAGGGGATTGTGGGAGCCGCCGCCGCCACCGCGGGGGGTTGTGGGTAAGGTGGCGGCTTTGCGGGGGGCTGGGGGTTGCGGGGGTGAGCGGGGGTCCAGGGGAGCGAGGGGGCAGCTCTGTCCGTGAGCTCGGAGACCTCCCGGTCATCGTTGGTGGGCGAGGAGGAGGGCGAAGATCGTCGCAGATACGACGACGACGATGATGATGACGAGGTGGTGGCGGCGGCGGTGGTGGAGGTGGAGGAGGTGAGGAACTCTGGGGGGATGCCGGCGAGAACGGGAGAAGAGGCTGTGGGGAAAGATGTGACCAGCGGAATCGTCATCGGCAGAATGATCGTTATCAGAATCTTCACCAGCAGAATCATCATCAGCGGAAATATCATCACCACCAGAATCATCAGCAACATCATCATCAGCGGAAATATCATCACCAGCAGAATCTTCACCAGCAGAATCATCATCAGCGGCAATATCATCACCAGCAGAATCATCATCAGCAGAATCATCAATATCAGAATCTTCATCATCAGCAGAATGATCGTTATCAGAATCTTCACCAGCAGAATCATCATCAGTGGCAATATCATCACCAGCAGAATCATCATCAGCGGCAATATCATCACCAGCAGAATCATCATCACAGGGCCCCTTTGTGTCCTGTGGGAGTCCCGGCTTGTGCCGGAAAGCGTCACCCACCCTACCACTCACCCTATCACTCACCCTACCACTCACCCTATCACTCACCCTATCACTCACACTACCACTCACCCTATCACTCACCCCACCACTCACCCTGTCACTCACCCCACCACTCACCCACCCTACCACTCATCCACCCTACCACTCATCCACCCTACCACTCACCCTCCCACTCACCCACCCTACCACTCACCCACCCGACCACTCACCCTCCCACTCACCCACCCTACCACTCACCCACCCTACCACTCACCCATCCTACCATCCACCCTACCACTGACCCAACCAGCCACTCACCCAGCCACTCATCCAAACACTCAGCCAGCCACTCACCTACCCACTCACCCTACCAATAACCCTACCATTCACTCACCCACCCAATCACTCACCCACCCTATCACTCACCCACCCTAACACTCACCCACCCTTTCACTCACCCACCCAACCACTCACTCAGCCACCTACTCATCCACCCCACTACTCACCCACTCTATCACTCACCCACCCAACCACTCACCCACCCAACCACTCACCCACCCTACCACTCACCCACCCTACCACTCACCCTACCACTCACCCACCCTACCACTCACCCATCCTACCATCCACCCTACCACTGACCCAACCAGCCACTCACCTACCCACTCACTCACCCTACCAATAACCCTACCATTCACTCACTCACCCAATCACTCACCCACTCTATCACTCACCCACCCAACCACTCACTCAGCCACCCTACTACTCATTCACCCCACTACTCATCCACTCTACCACACATCCACCCACTCACCCACCCAATCACTCACTCACCCTATCACTCACCTAACCTTTCACTCACCCACCCAACCACTCACTCAGCCACCCTACTACTCATCCACCCCACTACTCACCCACTCTACCACTCACCCACCCTACCACACATCCACCCACTCACCCAGCCACTCGCTCATCCACTTACCTACGCACTCACCGACTCAACCACTCACCCACCCACTCACCCGGCCATTCACTCACCCATCCTACCACTCACCCACCCTACCATTCACCCTGTCACTCACCCACCCTACTACTCACCCACCCTACCACTCACCCTACCACTCACCCACCCTACCACTCACCCACCCTACCATCCACCCTACCACTGACCCAACCAGCCACTCACCCAGCCACTCACCCACCCTTCCAATCACCAATCCACCCTACCCACCCAACTACGTGCAGTTAGCCAATCAGAACTCACCGTTTTCAAGAAGCTCGAACGCCATTGGCTCATCCCGCCGATCCGCTGTGTAGCGGTGAGCATGGTTAAGTTCTGGATTCTGATTGGCCCTTGGTGAAGTATGGTGGGTGGAGTTATTGAACGCAGGCATCTTCTGATTGGCTCTGCTTCTCAGGTGGGCGGGGCTCCGGGGTGGCGGTGTCTTTTGAGTGGCCCTGTTCTGCGTGTGGGCGGGGCTAGGAGCGGGGCTAGGGAACGTGGGCGTCCTCTGATTGGCCCGGTCGTACAAGTGGGCGGGGCTAGCAGCGGGACTTCGATGAGGTGGCGTCCTCTGATTGGCCCGGTTCTGCGTGTGGGCGGGGCTAGGTGCGGGGCTAGGGAAGGTAGGCGTCCTCTGATTGGCCCTGTCGTATAGATGGGCGGGGCTCGAAAACGAGAGCGTCCTCTGATTGGCCCGTTCGTAGATATGGGTTGGGCTGGGGGAGGAGCTATGAAAGGTAGGCGTTCTCTGATTGGCCCGGTCGTACGGGTGGACAGGGCTGGGGGCGGGGCTGGGGAAAGTTGGCGTCCTCTGATTGGCCCGTTCGTAGATATGGGTTGGGCTGGGGGCGGAGCTATGAAAGGTAGGCGTCCTCTGATTGGCCCAGTCATATGGATGGGCGGGGCTGGGTGCGGGGCTAGGGAAGGTAGGCGTCCTCTGATTGGCCCTGTCGTATGGATGGGCGGGGCTCGAAAAAGAGAGCGTCCTCTGATTGGCCCGGTCGTATGGAGGGGCGGGGCTGGGGGTGGGGCTGGAGAATGTAGGTGTCCTCTGATTGGCCCGGCCGTGCGAGTGGGCGGGGTTGGAGGCGGGGCTCCGAGGCGGCAGGGGCAGGGGCGTCTTCTGATTGGCCCGATCGATGGAGGGCGTGGCACAGCGGCTCGGGCTGCGCTCCAATTGGCCGAGGCTCTCGCCCAATGGGAGGTCATCTGAGTCGGGGTCATCGTCGGCGAATCGTACCTGGAGCGGAGTCTGCGATCGACACGGACAGAGATTATGCAAATTAGACACAATTTGGATGCACAAAAATATGCAAATGAGCTCATTAACTTAGATCGCACTCTGACCGGGGGTGAAAGAGTAGGCCAAAGTACCCTCCACGTGACTCCCGCAGCCGCTAGAGGCTGCTATTCTCTCCAATTAAACGAGCGGACAAACACATTCCTGCTGCGGAGGGAGCTGGTAGTGACCTTGGGTTGCTCGGTCAATGGCCAGGGTCAACGGCGGCGTGGTGTATTCCGCAAATATGCTCGACTGTGAGGGCGGGCACAAGCCGGCGTGAGTAGGTTAAACGTTGAGTTTTATAAGGGCACCACGGGGTGACCAGCCCCTCCCCACCCAGCATCACCCCTCTCTCCCCACCCAGCCCCACCCAGCCCCTCCCTCCCCACCCAGCCCCTCCCTCCCCACCCAGCCCCTCCCCACCCTCCCCACCCAGCCCCTCCCCACCCTCCTCACCCTCCCACCCAGCCACTCCCCACCCTCCCCACCTCTCCCACCCCCCACCCAGCCCCACCCCACCCCCCACCCAGCCCCACCCCACCCTCCCCACCCAGCCCCTCCCCACCCAGCCCCTCCCTCCCCACCCAGCCCCTCCCTCCCCACCCAGCCCCTCCCTGCACGACGGACGGACGGACACAATAATCCCCTGTGGGCTGGTGTAACCAGGAGGTTCCTACCAGTATAACACGTCCCAGTATATGCAGCACAAAGCATAACCATGCAAGGACTCCTCAACTCACGAACGAGATCGGTTCCAGAGGTCTGTGTTCGTAAGTCGATGTGTTCGTAAGTCCCAACTTTACTCCCTGTCGATTACAAACCACGTCGTAAGGTGTGTACACTAAACACGGGGAGTGGCTTTGAAAGTTGTAGAATCTCCAGTCGATGTAGATGTCACTGGCTCTTCACGTTCTGTATATGTAGATACCGCTGGTTCTTCACGTTCTGTAGATGTCACTGGTTCTTCACGTTCTGCAGATGCCACTGGTTCTTCAAGTTCTACACATGTAGATGCCACTGGTTCTTCACGTTTTGCAGATTTATAGGCCACTAGTTCTTCATGTTCTGTAGATGTAGATGCCACTGGTTCTTCACGTTCTGTATATGTAGATGCCACTGGTTCTTCACGTTCTGCAGATGCCACTGGTTCGTCACGTCCTACAGATGTAGCTGCCACTGGTTCGTCACGTCCTACAGATGTAGCTGCCACTGGATCTTCACGTTCTACAGATGTAGATGCCACTGGTTTTTCACGTTCTGCAGATGTAGAGGCCACTGGTTCGTCACGTTCTACAGATGTAGATGCCACTGGATCTTCACGTTCTGCAGATGCCACTGGTTCTTCACGTTCTGCAGATGTAGATACCGCTGGTTCTTCACGTTTTGTAGATGCCACTAGTTCTTCACGTTCTGCAGATATAGATGCTACTGGTTCTTCACGTTCTGTAGATGCCACTGGTTCTTCACGTTCTGTAGATGTAAATGCCACCGGTTCTTCACGTTCTACAGATGTTGATGCCACTGGTTCTTCACGTTCTACAGATGTTGATGCCACTGGTTCTTCACGTTCTACAGATGTTGATGCCACTGGTTCTTCACGTTCTGCAGATGTAGATGCCACTGGATATTCACGTTCTACAGATGTAGATGCCACTGGTTCTTCACGTTCTACAGATGTTGATGCCACTGGTTCTTCACGTTCTGCAGATGTAGATGCCACTGGTTCTTCACGTTCTGCAGATGTAGATGCCACTGGTTCTTCACGTTCTACAGATGTAGATGCCACTGGTTCTTCACGTTCTACAGATGATGATGCCACTGGTTGTTCACGTTCTACAGATGTAGATGCCACTGGTTCTTCACGTTCTACAGATGTTGATGACACTGGTTCTTCACGTTCTGTAGATGTAGATGCCACTGGTTCTTCAGGTTCTACAGATGAAGATGCCACTGGTTCGTCACGTTCTACAGATGATGATGCCACTGGTTCTTCACGTTCTACAGATGATGATGCCACTGGTTCTTCACGTTCTACATATGTAGATGCCACTGGTTCTTCACGTTCTGTAGATGTAGATGTCACTGGTTCTTCACTTTTTGCAGATGTAGATGTCACTGGTTCTTCACGTTCTGCAGATGTAGATGCCACTGGTTCTTCACGTTCTACAGATGTAGATGCCACTGGTTCTTCACGTTCTGCAGATGTAGATGCCACTGGTTCTTCACGTTCTGCAGATGTAGATGTCACTGGTTCTTCACGTTCTGCAGATGTAGATGCCACTGGTTCTTCACGTTCTACAGATGTAGATGCCACTGGTTCTTCACGTTCTGCAGATGTAGATGCCACTGGTTCTTCACGTTCTGCAGATGTAGATGCCACTGGTTCTTCACGACCTTCACTCCCCCACGTGACCCCCACTCCCCCTCCCCCACGTGACTCCCACTCCCCCACGTGACCCCCACGTGACCCCCACTCCCCCTCCCCCACGTGACCCCCACTCCCCCTCCCCCACGTGACCCCCACTCCCCCTCCCCCACGTGACCCCCCCCCCCCCCCGCTCGCCCCCTCCTCACCAGTCGCCCCTTCTGACGGAGACTCGATCTGAGATCCCCGCGGCTCAGGCCGGGACTACTTTCAGCGCAGTGGGCGGAGCCAGCGGCAGCCACGCCCCCGTATCCCTCCGCCGCCGTGGACACGAAGGTGTTGTCCGCCGGAAGCCGCCGCACGGCGCTGCCCTTCGTCATGGCAACGGGCAGCACCGGGGGTAGTGCCGGGGTCAGAGTCGGGGTCAGCGCCGGGTAGGGGAGGGCACGGGCCGGGCAGTCCACCCCGGCCGGACCTGCGGGTTCAACGCCGAGAGCACTCTGATGATTGTGGTGATTGTGGTGATTGTGATGAGTGTGATGATTGTGGTGATTGTGGTGATTGTGATGATTGTGGTGATTGTGATGAGTGTGGTGGTGGTGGTGATTGTGATGATTGTGGTGGTGGTGGTGATCGTGATGATTGTGATGATTGTGGTGATTGTGGTGATTGTGATGATTGTGATGATTGTGGTGATTGTGGTGATTGTGATGATTGTGGTGATTGTGATGAGTGTGGTGGTGGTGGTGATTGTGATGATTGTGATGATTGTGGTGGTGGTGGTGATCGTGATGATTGTGATGATTGTGGTGATTGTGATGATTGTGGTGATTGTGATGATTGTGGTGATTGTGATGAGTGTGGTGGTGGTGATGATTGTGATGATTGTGGTGGTGGTGGTGATTGTGATGATTGTGATGATTGTGGTGGTGGTGGTGGTGATCGTGATGATTGTGATGATTGTGGTGATTGTGGTGATTGTGGTGATTGTGATGAGTGTGGTGGTGGTGGTGATTGTGATGATTGTGGTGATTGTGATGAGTGTGGTGGTGGTGGTGATTGTGATGATTGTGATGATTGTGGTGATGATGGTGGTGGTGGTGATCGTGATGATTGTGATGATTGTGGTGATTGTGGTGAGTGTGATGATTGTGGTGATTGTGATGAGTGTGGTGGTGGTGGTGATTGTGATGATTGTGGTGGTGGTGGTGATTGTGATGATTGTGATGAGTGTGGTAGTGGTGATTGTGGTGGTGATGATTGTGATGATTGTGATGGTGGTGATGATTGTGGTGGTGGTGATGAGTGTGGTGGTGGTGATTGTGGTGGTGATGATTGTGATGAGTGTGGTGGTGGTGATGAGTGTGGTGATTGTGATGAGTGTGGTGGTGGTGGTGATTGTGATGATTGTGGTGATTGTGATGAGTGTGGTGGTGGTGGTGATTGTGATGATTGTGATGATTGTGGTGATGATGGTGGTGGTGGTGATCGTGATGATTGTGATGATTGTGGTGATTGTGGTGAGTGTGATGATTGTGGTGATTGTGATGAGTGTGGTGGTGGTGGTGATTGTGATGATTGTGGTGGTGGTGGTGATTGTGATGATTGTGATGAGTGTGGTGGTGGTGATTGTGGTGGTGATGATTGTGATGAGTGTGGTGGTGGTGATGAGTGTGATGGTGATGATTGTGTTGATTGTGATGGTGGTGATGATTGTGGTGGTGGTGATGAGTGTGGTGGTGGTGATTGTGGTGGTGATGATTGTGATGAGTGTGGTGGTGGTGATGAGTGTGATGGTGATGATTGTGATGATTGTGATGGTGGTGATGAGTGTGGTGGTGGTGATGAGTGTGGGTAGAATAATACATAGTGTAATATTACAATGTATAAGGTATAGGGTGGTGTATAGCAATACAGTATATAATTTAATGTTGGGTTTGTCTATGGCAGTATATAGTACGGTGTAGACTCTTGTGATGTAAGAGAATAAAGTTTAGCTGGAAGCATATTATATTTTTTGCGACATAGAATTGTAATGTATTACTTACTGTTAGTAACTCAGCTTATTGTAGAGTATATTTAGTATACTGATGATCCTATGTAGTTTATACTTTAGTTGTTTACGTGGTGGTTTTAGTTTCTGCAGCTACATACTATTAACACTCCTTCCCTTTATTAATGCTACCCCTATCCCATCCCTTTGATGCTGCTAATCCTGCATAATGCACGGGCATAAGTAGTACTAATCACATACCTGCATTTCCCCTCCCTTTGATGCTGCTAATCCTGCATAATGCACGGGCATAAGTAGTACTAATCACATACCTGCATTTCCCATATCCCCTCCCTTTGATGCTGCTAATCCTGCATAATGCACGGGCATAAGTAGTACTAATCACATACCTGCATTTCCCATATCCCCTCCCTTTGATGCTGCTAATCCTGCATAATGCACGGGCATAAGTAGTACTAATCACATACCTGCATTTCCCATATCCCCTCCCTTTGATGCTGCTAATCCTGCATAATGCACGGGCATAAGTAGTACTAATCACATACCTGCATTTCCCATATCCCCTCCCTTTGATGCTGCTAATCCTGCATAATGCACGGGCATAATGAGTTTAAACCCCTCGCCAAACCTACGCATTTCACAAGTAGTACTAATCGCATATCTGCATTTCCCATAAATATGCTAAATTCCTCTTAATATGCAAATTCTTTTGTCAAGGCGCTCTTCCCCCCTCCATCCCAGCTTAAATAGTCGCTCCAAGCCTGGGGCTTGTCATTCAGACTGTCTTCTTGACAGACCTGTTCTCCACCTGAGGACGGCTGCTTGCGTTGTGGCCGAAACGTCGTGAGAATTATTTAATTATGTTTTATTTTTATTATTTTATTATTTCCATTCTACGTGACTTTACCGAAGGAACCAAGAAGATGTGAGGATTGTGATGATTGTGGTGGTGGTGGTAGGGGGAGCGGTGGCACAGCAGTTAGCGCCGTGGTGGGCTCAGAAGCCGGCAGAGAGTCGAGTTCGATTCCCCAACTCGGCTTCCTGCCGGAATTGACGGCGATGATCTGAACCGGTCCTAGGTCGACTCAGCCCAAAATGAGTACCCGGTGCAGTGCGTAAAAACATGGCCACTGGGGGAGACAAAGGCGGCCGGACGTGGTGGTGCTGGCCACCCACCCCCTCGTGTGCCACAGTGCCGGTAGCCTTCATAGGTGCTCGCTAACAGCACTTGCCCCTACAGTCGGTTACAGGCTATACGGGGGATCTTTGTCTTTGCGTGTGGGTTGGTAGCGTAGCGGAGACCCGAGTTCGATTCACGCTCACGGCCAAGACCACCGGTGACGATGATTCGATTCGGTCTTGGGACTCCCCTAGATCGACTCAGCCTCAAATGAGTACCTGGTGCGGTGCGTAAAAACATCACCACTGGGGAGACAAAGGCGGCCGGGCGTGGTGGCGCTGGCCACCCATCCCCTCGTGTGCCACAGTTCCGGCAGCCTTCATAGAGGCGCTACTCGCTTGCTACTCGCCACTAACGGCACTTGCCCCATTAGCCCCGCCAGAGGCTACCCGGGCCACCTTTGTCTGTCCACGCTCACTCGTCGCTCACCTCCCATCACGGAGCCGGGCAGAGTTCCAAGATGGCCACCCCCGCCCCCCTCTGGACCCCCTCCCCCTCCTCCCCCCACGTCCACCAACGTGGTGGAAGCCATTGTCGGTGACATCATCCTCCTCCTCTTTGTGTCGTCATCATCGTCGTCGTCTCTGAGCTCCCGCTTCAGGGTCCTCATCGCGATCTCCTGGCCCCCCCCGCTGCCCCTCCCGCTGCCCCCCCCGCCCCTCCCCCCCCTCCTCCTCTTCCCTCTCGGAGTCACCGTGGCTGCCCGGCTGCTGCTCTTCTTGCTTCCCCGGGCGAACCACAGGGCGTTGCCGCACTCCAGGTATCCGCCGCTCGCCTCCTCCGACTCCTCCGCTTCATCCTCCGAAGCCTCGTCCGCCCCTAGGTCGGCTCCGACGGAAATGCCCGAGCGCCGATAATCGCCGCCGCCGAAATCGAACCACTCCGACCGATCCTTCAGCTCGCACTGCAGACTCCTGCAAAGCCGCTGATGATGCTGCTGATGATGATGCTGCTGCTGATGATGATGTTTATGAATGACGACATCGTCGTCGTCGTCGTCACCACCGCCAGCACCACCGCGGAGATTGTGGCAGCAGTACTGGCGGTCAGAAAGGTTGTGGTGGAGGTTGTGGTGGTTGTGGCGGTTGTGGCGGTTGTGGCGGTGGTGGCGGCGGTGGCGGTAGCAGGCGGCGACCAGCCCCGCGCACAGCGCCAGCAGCGCCAGCGCGGCGCCGCCGGCCACGGCCAGCGTAACTGTCCGTCGGTTCAGCTCCGCAACCTCCTCCTGCTGCTCCTCCAGGATCCCGAAGGTGCTGATGAGGTCGTCTTGTGGGCGGGCCTGGATCTGGGGGAGAGGGGGGCACTCAGTCACCCACTCAGCCACTCATTCAGACACTCACTCAGAAACCCACTGAGCAGTCCATTCAGCCACCCACTCAGCCAACCCCTCAGCCACCCAATCAGCCACTCACTCAGTGTCCCACTCAGCCGCTCACTCAGCCACCCAATCAGCCACCCACTCTTTTGTTCAGCCACTCCCTCTTGTTTGGCAGTCTCCGGCCCCGAGTAGAGGACTGTCCACCCCTCATGGCGGCAGGAGCCAGAGCCTGTCCACCAGACCTCCTGAATGCCGCAGAGATCCAGGCGGTACCGGTCCAGCTCCCGACAGAGGAGTGGCAGCCTCTCCTCCACAGTGAGCGTTCGAACATTGAACATAGTCACCCTTTTTGTTGTTCCCAGAGGAGCCCCGAGGGTGAAGATTCAATCTCCTGGCTCCGCCAAATGGGGTTTGGCGAGGAGACGTCATAGACGCCTGTCCCCCCGGGGCCTCCGGCACGAGCTTAATACGTTTTTTTTTCGTAGTTTACTGGTAGTTAATTGAAGGTGGAGGGGTTACCAGCCCCTCGCACCCGTCCAGAGCCCCCATTTGGCCGCTGTGGTGGTTACAGACGCTATTAAGGGAAAAGGTCAATCTCAATTGGCCCTCCCCCCATGGCACCGCCCACCACAGCGTTGCCGTCCGGCAACATGAGGAGGTAGGGGGTTGTTTTTGCCGGACTACCACCACCAACACCACCACTAATACCACCACCATCATCACCACCATTAACACCACCACTACCCCCACTATTATCATCACTACCCCCAGCACCCCCACTAACACCACCACCACTCCGACTAACACCACCACCACCCCGACCCCCCCCACCACCGCCACCCCGCCCCCACCACCATCACCACCACCACCACCACCCCTACTAACACCACCACTAATATCACCACCATTAACATCACCACCACCGCCATCACTACCACCACCACCCGGGCCGCCACCATCACCACCACCACCACCACCCCTACTAACATCACCACCATTAACATCACCACCACCCGGGCCGCCACCACCACCACCCCGACCATCCCCCCCCCCACCACCCCTACTAACACCACCACTAATACCACCACCATTAACATCACCACCACCGCCATCACCACCACCCGGGCCGCCACCACCACCATCACCACAACCACCCCGACCCACCCCCCCACCACCACCACCATCACCACCACCACCACCCCCCCCCCCACCACCACCACCGCCACCCCGACCACCACCACCCGGGCCGCCACCACCACAACCACCACCACCCCGACCACCACCACCACAACCACCATCACCACCACCATCACCACCACCACCACCCCCCCCATCACCACCACCACCCCCCCCCCATCACCACCACCACCCCCCCCCCACCACCCCACCTGCGCCAGCAGCCGCTGCACCTCTTGCTCCGTGCCGCGCGTGGCGTTCACGAGGACGTAGACGGCCAACGCGGTCGCCAGCGGGGTCGGCGCGAGGTCGCGGGCCACCACCACCACGCGGTGCAGGCCCCGGTGGGCCGGCGTGACCCGCCGGGCCAGCGCCAGCCGGGCCCTCACCACCGGCCTGGCCCTCACCGCCGTTGCGTTCCCGGCCTCGCCAGCGGCGGCCTCAGCGGTGGCCTCGTCGGGGTCATGGCCGACGGGACCGACGGTCGCGACCTCCTCGAGGGTGAAGAGGGAGGCCGGGTCGCTCCAGGACTCCACGTGGAGCCGCACCGTGCCGTTGAGGCCCTCGTCCAGATCATAGGCCTCGAGCTGCGGGTCGACGTGAATGGGGGTGGGGGGGAGGGAAGAGGGAGGAGGGAGAGTGAAAAGGGAGGGAGGGGAGGGGGAAGAGGGGAGGGAGCGGAGGGAGTGAGAGAGGGAGGTAGTGGAGGGAGGGGATGAAGGGGAGGGAATGGAGGGAGGGGGGGAGGGGAGAGGGGGAAGGGAGAAAGGGAGGATTGCAAGCCATTGAGTGAGAGAGTGAGGACTTCCCGGACAAGACGAACAGTGAGAGAGAGTGAGTGGGGATTGTAAGCCAGTGAGTGAGCGAGTGAGTGAGTGAGCGAGTGAGTGAGCGAGCAAGAGAGTGAGCGAGTAATTGATTGAGTGAGTGAAAAAGCGAGTGAGAGAGTGAGCATGCGAGCGAGAAAGCGAGTGATTGATTGAGTGAGAGAGCGAGTGAACAAGAGAGTGTACGAGTGAGTGACCGAGGAATTGATTGAGCGAACGAGAGAGCGAGTGAGCAAGAGAGCAAGTTATTGATTGAGTGAGCGAGTGAGCGATGCGTGTGAGCAAGAGAGCTAGTGGTTGACTGAGCGAGCGAGTGAACAAGAGAGCGACTGATTGAGTGAGCGAGAGAGTGAGTGAGTGAGCAATAGAGCGCGTGATTGATTGATTGAGCGAGCCCAGCGAGTGAGTGAGTAAGAGAGCGAGTGATTGAGCGAGTGAGCAATACAGCGAGTGATTGATTGAGCGAGCCCAGCGAGTGAGTAAGAGAGCGAGTGATTGAGCGAGTGAGCAATACAGTGAGTGATTGATTGAGCGAGCGAGCCCAGCGAGTGAGTAAGAGAGCGAGTGATTGATTGAGTGAGCGAGCGAACGAGTAAGCAAGAGAGCGAGTGATTGATTGATTGAGTGAGTGAGCAACAGAGCGAGTGATTGATTGAGTGAGCGAGAGAGCAATAGAGCGAGTGATTGATTTAGTGAGCGAGAGAGCAACAGAGCGAGTGATTGATTGAGTGAGCGAGCGAGCGAGCGAGCGAGAGAGCGAGTGATTGATTGAGCGAGCCCAGCGAGTGAGTGAGTAAGAGAGCGAGTGATTGAGCGAGTGAGCAATACAGCGAGTGATTGATTCATTGAGCGAGCCCAGCGAGTGAGTAAGAGAGTGAGTGATTGATTGAGTGAGCGAGCGAGTGAGCAAGAGAGCGAGTAATTGATTGAGTGAGCGAGTGATTGAGTGAGTGAGCGGCGGTGTTGGCGGTGGTGGAGGCACCACCCACGTGAGCCACGTGGGTTCCGGCGGCGCTGAAGAGCGGCAGGAACGCCGGGGAGCGGTGCCCCTGCACGAGTAGAAGTGTCAGCGAGTGATTGATTGAGTGAGCGAGAGAGCGAGTGATTGATTGAGTGAGCGAGAGAGCAATAGAGCGAGTGATTGAGTGAGTGAGTGAGCGAGAGAGTGAGTGATTGATTGAGTGAGCAAGAGAGCAATGGAGCGAGTGATTGATTGAGTGCGTGAGAGAGAGATTGATTGAGCGAGCGAGAAAGCGAGCGATTGATTGAGTGAGCGAGAGAGCAATAGAGCGAGTGATTGAGTGAGTGAGTGAGCGAGAGAGTGAGTGATTGATTGAGTGAGCAAGAGAGCAATGGAGCGAGTGATTGATTGAGTGAGTGAGCGAGCGATCAACAGAGCAAGTGATTGATTGAGTGAGTGAGAGAGCAATGGAGCGAGTGATTGATTGAGTGAGCGACCGAGCAATAGAGCGAGTGATTGATTGAGTGAACGAGCGAGCGAGAGAGCGAGTGATTGATTGAGTGAGCGAGCGAGCAACAGAGTGAGTGATTGATTGAGTGAGCGAGAGAGCAATAGAGCGAGTGATTGATTGAGTGAGCGAGCGAGCAACAGAGCGAGTGATTAATTGATTGAGTGAGCGAGAGAGCAATAGAGTGAGTGATTGATTGAGTGAGCGAGAGAGCAACAGAGCGAGTGATTAATTGATTGAGTGAGCGAGAGAGCAATAGAGCGAGTGATTGAGTGAGCGAGCGAGCAACAGAGCGAGTGATTGATTGAGTGAGCGAGAGAGCAATGGAGCGAGTGATTGATTGAGTGAGCGAGAGAGCAATAGAGCGAGTGATTGAGTGAGCGAGAGAGCAATTAAGAGAGCGAGTGATTGGTTGAGCGAGTGAGTGATTAAGAGAGTGAGTGATTGAGTGAGCGAGAGAGCGAGTGATTGATTAATTGAGCGAGCGAGGGAGCGAGTGAGCAACAGAGCGAGTGATTGATTGAGTGAGCGAGTGAGCGAGCGAGTGATTGATTGAGTGAGCGATGGTTGTTGGGGTTTGCGGTGGTGGAGGCACCACCCACGTGAGCCACGTGGGTTCCGGCGGCGCTGAAGAGCGGCAGGAACGCCGGGGAGCGGTGGCCCTGCACGGGTAGAAGCGTCAGTCCGGGCGCGTTGTCGTTGGAGTCGGCCACCCGCACCGTGGACTTCGTGCGCGAGCATCGGGGCGGGGAGCCCTGGTCCCTCGCCTCCACCTGGCGGAGACACACGGTGGCCCCCATCGTGGCCGCTCGTGAAGATGGCGGTGGTGGGGAGTTGGTGGGTGGTCTGCATCACCACTATCACTGCCACCAGCAACCCCATCACCACCATCACTACCACCGCCATCACCACCAACACTCCTATCAGCACCACTACCACCACCACCAACTCCATCATCACCACCATCACCTCCACTACCACCACCAACTCCATCATCACCACCACCACCCCCACCACCACCGCCACCCCCACCACCACCCCCACTACCACCATCCACTCCATCACCACCACCACCATCACCACCACCCCCACCACCACCGCCACCACCAACCTCACCACCAACTCCATCATCACCACCACCACCCCCACCACCAACTCCATCACCACCCCCACCACCAACCTCACCACCAACTCCACCCCCACCACCACCTCCACCACCACCACCACCACCCCCACCACCAACCTCATCACCAACTCCACCAACTCCACAACCACCCCCATCACAACCACTACCACCATCAACTCCATCACCACCACCACCACCACTACCACCACCAACTCCACCACCACCCCCACCACCAACTCCACCACCACCACCCTCACCACCACCACTACCACCATCAACTCCATCACCACCACCACCCCCACTACCACCATCCACTCCATCACCACCCCACCACCACCAACCTCACCACCACCCACTCCATCACCACCCCCACCACCCCCACCACCATCACCACCCCCACCACCACCCCCACTACCACCATCAACTCCATCACCACCACCACCCCCACTACCACCATCCACTCCATCACCACCCCTACCACCAACCTCACCACCAACTCCACCATCACCCCCACGACCACCACCACCACCACCACCACCAACCTCACCACCAACTCCATCATCAACACCACCAACAACCTCACCCCCACCATCACCACCAACTTCACCACCAACTCAATCACCACCCGCACCACCACCACCACCAACACCACCAACTTCATCATCACCACCACCACCCCCACGACCCCCACCACCCCCACCACCACCACCAACTCCATCATCATCACCACCCCCACCACCCCCACCACCACCACCACCATAACCACCCCCACCACCCTCACCACCACCCCCACCACCACCCCCACTACCACCATCCACTCCATCACCACCACCACCACCACCCCCACCACCACCGCCACCACCGCCATCACCTGGAAGCTGTAGGTGTCCCTCTGCTCTCGGTCCAGCACCTTCGTCGTCCTCACCTCGCCACTGCCAGGGTCGATGACGAAGGGGATATCATCATCACCCCCATCATCATCATCACCCCCATCACACCCATCACCACCGTCACCACCACCGCCGACGCTTCGCGACGCCCGAGCCTCCGCCGTCCGTGTCGTCCTCCCTCCACCACCCCGCCCCTCCCCCGGCATGATGAGGTGACGGCGGCGGTGGTGGTGGAGGAGCTGGAGGAGGTGGAATGTGACGAGGCCGTTGGGGCCTTCGTCCGGATCGGTGGCCGTCAGCGTCGCCACCATGGGATCCCGCCGGGAGATTCTCACCCACGGAGAGCAGCAGCGGTGTGGGGGGGTCCTGGGGGGGGGGAGTGGGTGGAGTGGGGGGGGGGGGATACGTGACGTTAGCAGCCACACTGTGTGACGTCAGCAGGCACACTGTGTGACGTCAGCAGGCACACTGCGTGACGTCAGCAGGCACACTGCGCGATGCTTCCGCACGCGGGTCACATGACAGATGTGACGTCACAACTCACTTTCCGTGCAAAATATATCCATTATTGCGCCCCCCCCCCTAAAAAATACAAAAGTCTATTTTTATAATTTGTGCGTGGTATACAGTCTGGAAAGTACCCACATGGCAAATTTCAAGTTTGTTGCATGTCGGGATGATGATGATGATGTTGATGATGATGATGCTGATGATGATGATGTTGATGATGCTGATGTTGATGATGATGGTGATGCTGCTGCTGATGATGCTGATGATGATGGTGATGATGCTGCTGATGATGCTGATGATGCCAGAGCGAACGTGGATCCCCCCACCTCTCCCCCACCTCTCCCCCCACCTCTCCCCCCACCTCTCCCCCCACCTCTCCCCCCACCTCTCCCCCCACCTCTCCCCCCACCTCCCCCCCCCCACCTCTCCCCCACCCCCCCAACTCACCACGATGGTGGGCGTGTTGTCGTTGACGTCACGCACGTGGACGGTGATGAGCGCCGTGGCCGAACGGGGTGAGGCCCCTCCCCCAGCCCCTCCCCCGAGGTCCCGGGCCACCACGGCCACCGTGAGGATGGGGCCGTCCACCTCGCGGTCCAGGGCCCTCAGCGCCCTCAGGATGCCGCTCTCGGCGTGCACGGTGAAGGGCGCGCCCAGCGGTGGCAGCGCCACCGCCGTCCCTCCAATCACACCGACTCCACCGCCACCACCTCCACCACCTCCACCAGCTCCACCAGCAGCTCCACTGACGGCCCCCAGAGAGTAGCGGACGAGGCCGCGGGGTCCACTGTCTGCGTCCACAGCCAGCACTGGGGGGGGAGGAGGGGAGGGGGAGGGGGGTTAGGGGGGGTGGGGGCCACCGGTACCCACCCCCCCAAACCCACAAGCCCCGCCCCTCCCCCAGCCCCACCCCACCCACCCACCTCGCCCCCCAACAACAACAACAATCCAGACAGGCAGACAGGAATTCAGGCAGGCAGACAAGAGCCCAGGCAGGCAGGCAGGAAGAAATCCAGCAAGGCAAAATAAGGTTCTATCCAGGCAGCCAGGAACCCAGCCAGGCAGCCAGGAACCCAGCCAGGCAGCCAGGAACCCAGCCAGGCAGCCAGAAATTTACCCAGGCAGTCAGAAACCTAGTCAGAAACCCAGTCAGGAACCCAGGTAGGCAGCCAGGAACCCAGCCAGGCAGCCAGGAACCCAGCCAGGCATCCAGGAACCCAGCCAGGCAGCCAGGAACCAAACCAGACAACCAGGAATCCAGGCAGGCAGACAAGAGTCCAGGCAGGCAGGCATGCAGGAAGGATTCCAGCAAGGCAAACTAAGGTTCCACCCAGGCAGCTAGGAACCCAGCCAGGAAATCTAACCAGGTAGGCAGGAATACAATACAGTGCAGCTCGGAATCCAGCCAGGCAGACAGGAATCCAGACAGATAGCCGGGAATCTATCCAGGCAGGCAGGAATCCAGCCAGTGCAGCTTGGAATCCAGCCAGGCAGACATGAATCCAGCCAGGCAGACATGAATCCAGCCAGGCAGCTAGGAATCCAGCCAAGCAACTAAGGTTCAATCCAGGCAGCTATGAACCCAGCCAGGCAGCCAGGAATCCAACCAGTTAGGCAGGATTCCTGCCAGTGCAGCTCAGAATCCAGCCAGGCAGACAGGAACCCAGACAGGCAACTAGGAATCCAGCCAGGTAGCCAAGTATCCAGCCAGGCTGCTAGGAATCCACCCAGGCAGCCAGAACCCCAGCCAGGAACCCACTCAGGCAGCCAGGAACCCAGCGAGGAATTCAGCCAGGTAGCCAGGATTCCACCAAGTCAGCCAGGAACCCAGCCAGGCAGCCATGACCCCAGCCAGGAATTCAGCTAGGCAGCCATGAACTCAGCCAGCCTGCCAGGAATCCAGCCAGGAATTCAGCCAGGTAGCCAGAAATCTAGCCAGACAGCCAGGAACCCAGCCAGGCAGCCATGACCCCAGCCGGGCAGGCAGGAACCCAGCCATGACCCCAGCCAGGCAGCCATGACCCCAGCCAGGCAGGCAGGAACCCAGCCATGACCCCAGCCAGGCAGACAGGAACCCAGCCAGGCGGGCAGGAACCCAGGGGGGTGTGGGTCTTGCTCTCACCCCGGAGCAGGAAGGCGCCGGGCTCGTTGTTCTCGTCGATGTCGACGTGTCGAGGCAGCGGCTCCTGGAAGGCCGGCGAGTTGTCGTTCTCGTCCAGCACCTCCAGCCGCAGCGACGTCGTGCTGGAGAGGGGGGGGGAGCCCCCGTCGATCGCCACGATCCACAC